CTTATGAAAATTTCTGGTTTCTTCTTCTTCTGCACAAATATTTTTCGTGTACTTTACTGCCGTTGAGTGGCTCACTGACATTAGCGTTTTGGGTATCAATACACTGGTGATTGAGATCATTCTATCTTGGGAGGATATATTCCAAATCAAACCTCGGATAATAGAGGAGAATGATTTCCTTAAGGGGACATTGTGCATTCAGTGGGCTTGATCTTCTTCCGTTCTATCTTTTACAGATTCTGGTATGTTTTACAGATTTTAATTTTTGTGAATTAATTTATGTTCTTCTGTTCTTACTGGTTCATTAAACTTTGATAACTTCGTGTTTCTGCAAAGCTTGTTGAAATCAGTAATTCTGTTTTAAACACAGATTGGCAACAATCTTAAGGAAAAAATTTTTAATCTGTGTTTCTAGTGGAGACAAAAATCTTTGTGGTTTTATACTCCTGTTAAGTTTACAATTTAAATTATTGCTTACTGATTGTATCAATTTCTGTTTGTTACAGATTCTGAAATGGCAAATGATAATGTTACGGTGGTTGTTGCTGCACCAACCTGAATTGTTTTACCACCAGCAGAGAAACCGAGAAAATTCTCTGGTGTGAATTTCAAAGGATGGCAACAACGAATATTTTTTTGGCTTACCACTCTTGGTCTACAGAAATTTACTAATGAAGTAACTCCAGTGCCTGCTGCTGAAATGCCAGACAAAGAAAAATTCATGATTATTGAAGCATGGAAACAAGCAGACTTCCTATGTAAAGGCTACATTTTGAGTACTTTAGAGGATGACTTATATAATGTCTATAGTGCAATGACAACTTTGAAAGAATTGTGGGATGCACTTGAGAAGAAATATGAGACAGAAGATGCATGCTTGAAAAAGTTTGTGATCGCAAAGTTTTTATACTATAAAATGTCAGATAGTAAAACTGTTTGATCACAAGTACAGAAACTTCAACTTATTTTCCATGATCTGATTGCTGAGGTTATGGTAGTAAATGAAGTTTTTCAAGTGGCTGCAATGATCGAGAAGTTACCTCCTTCGTGGAACGACTTCAAGAATTATCTAAAGCATAAACGTAAGGAAATGAAACTTGAAGATCTTGTGATTTGGCTCAAGATTAAGGAAGATAACAAGACCGCCGAAAAGAAGTCTCGTAAGAGTTTGACAATAATTGGAGTTAATATTGTTGAAGAAGCTCCTATTAAAAGCAAGAAGAGAAAGAAGTCCAACGAATAGAAGTTAGAACAGGCCAAGAAGAAATTCAAGGGCAACTGTTACAACTGTGGTAAGGCTGATCACAAGTTTTCTGACTGTCGTGCTCCAAGAAAGGACAAAGACAAAGACAAAGACAAAGGCGAAAGTCAAGCAAACATTGTGGAAGAGATGGAAAATGCAAATGACCTCTGTGTAATGATCTCGAAGTGCAACTTAGTTGAAAATTCCAATGAGTGAATTCTCGACTCAGGTGCCACTCGACATATTTTCTCTGCAAAAGAAGCCTTTGCAACGTACACTCCTGCTGAGTTCAATGAAGATTTGTTCATGGGGGACACAACAACAACAAAAATTGGAGGAGCTGGGAAAGTTATGTAGAAGATGACATCTGACAAGGTGTTCACTCTGAACAACGTTCTGCACGTTCCTACTATTAGAAAAAATTTAGTTTCTGTTGCACTGCTCGTTAAGAATGGGTTTAAGTGTGTCCTAGTTAGTGACAAAGCTGTAATAAGTAATAATGAGATGTTCTTAGGAGAGGGCTACCTCACTGAGGGCCTCTTCAAACTGAATGTAATGGTTGTTGATAGTATTAATAAAAATTATCACTACTAAAAAAACAGCGTTTAGCGACGGACTATAGCGACGGACTATATTCCGTTGCTATATAACGACGGTTTAACTATGGAATAAATATTTTGTCGCAATAATAATAAGCAATTTTTTTTTAATTCTATAGCGACGGAATGGCGACGGATTGCATATTCCGTCACTATTTATTAGCGCGAAAAGTTGGCGCCTTAATATTTCCTACGAATTTAACAACAGAAGGGCTGCGACAAATTGAATTAATTTTGAACGACGGATTAGCAACGGAAAATTCGTCGTTACAACTTTTAGTATTTATTTATAAATTTTATATTTTGTAGCGACAGAAAAATTCGTCGTTAGTTTCCATTCTAAATAAATCAAAGATGTTTGTTAGCGACGGAATTTAATATGTCGTTAAATCCGTCGCAAAATAAAATAAAAATTTAGGGATAAGTTAGGGCACACAAAAATTCCCTCTCCATTCTACTAACAAAAGCTTTGAGCTCTCCCACTCTCTCTCTCTCTTCGGCTCTTCAACTATTCCTCTTCCCCATTCTTCAAATACGCTACTAATTACTCTTTCACTCTCTTCAATGTGAGAAATCAATGAGTTTCTATCAATTTTCGAATTCAAAATCAAGTGAGTTGTACTAACTTTTGTATACTCTAATTTTGAGTTTATTTTTTGTATATTAAGATGTGTTCTATGGATTTGTGTTGATTTTGTTTGTGGGTTTTGGTAATCTTGAAATATGAGACAAGGGTTCTACTTGGAAGAATGATTTTGCCATAATCGAGTTACACTTTGCAATTAGGGTTTGTTTTAAGAGATTAGTGATATTATAAAAGATGTCAAAATCAGATCTTAACATAATCACTTTTTGTTGTTAGTAATCAACTGTGAATAAGACTACTTTTTTGTTGTTAGTAGTCACTTTTTCTATCTGGGTTTAGCTTGAACAACAACAAGATTCTGCGCAATATCAGGAATACATTTTACTATGCTTGTTGGGTCTTTGAGTTCTATTTTTAACTTCTGTTTGTATTTTTCTATTTTGAAATTGTTAATTTGAAAAGTTTAGTATAGGCATCGTATAACTCGTTTTATGAGAATATATAGTGGTGTTTAAATTCTGTTTTTTTTTTCTATTTTAGAAGGCCTTATTGCAGCTTATGAAACATGTGTGGAGTTTTGTTTCTTCGTGAATGTGTTTGCTGCCTGTTTGTCCTAAGAACAGCTAACCAAGTAAGCTCTCTTTCTCTATCTTATTCTATTTCATTTTTCTTGGTTTGTCAAAGTCATGACTTAAAGAAAAAATGTTTATTTGTGATAGTCGATTAGTAATTTCGATATGTATTTGGTAGCTGATTCAATTATAATTTTTACGTATTGTCAAACATTGTCGAATTAAATACAAGTTAATGAAAATGGTTCAAGAAAGAGAGTTTTAGATAAGAATTAACATTATCAACTTAAAGAAGTTGTTCATAAACTAAACAAAAAATGATTTTCTATTCATACACATAATTAAAGAAATGAATAACAAACAAACAAAAAATGACATCTATTGCCATCAACTTTTTTTTGCCACACACAAGAAAGTAAACAAGAAGAGACTAGCAAAATTTTCATCCAATCTGTACCTAAATTTCTGCAGTAAGTCAATCAAATTTTGGTGTATCTAAAGATTTTTTCCTTGCTCCATATCAAATGAAAGATTCTTCTTGAGTTCTCGTTGTCATACTCTGCTGGATTAGATATAAGTGATTGAGATCTCTGATAGTTAATCAGATTAACATGTCTTTCACAAATTTTAGATTTAATGTAAAGTATGCAAAGTTCAATTTTTCATAGCTATTAAGTAACTGCTTGCTTTCTCTGCTCTACTTCTCTGTTTCTTTTCTTTGTGCTCCTCTATTTATGTAAAGAAATTCACCTGAACAACATACAATGATATTTAAGTTTGTATTTTTTTCTTTTCCACATGGTGTTATTATAGTTTGTGGAGAATATGTGGACCTTTGCTTCTTCGTGAACGTGTTGCTGCTTATTTATCCTAAGAACAACTATATCAAGTTTACGTAAGTTCTACTTAGTTTGTTTAATATTTTGGGTTGTCCATCTTTATGCTTGATGAAACTTTCAGAAGGGAATTGATTGTGAGCAGACATGGGATAATTATGCTATGGTGGTTAATATTTCAAATGTTATACACAGATTTTGCTGACGTTGCAATCTTTCAAGGCTCTCAAATCTCGTCTTGTTCCACTAATTTCACTCGCCCTGCATCCTTCTCTTTTCATCCACCAACTTTTCAGCTCCTCGGTATGATTTTTATTTGGTACTCCATTATATTTACGATCGTAACACTAGAAATTAGTTACTAGCAAGAGAAATGAAATTCAAACCACTTTCTTGATTGTTTGCAGTAATATTTGTATTATCTTTTTGGCATCACACTTTTTGTAACTTTACAATAATTAGAGTACAATACAACAAGTGTAGTACTTATTTTATGATCTAACTTTAGGCTTATAATTATCAAATGACTTGACATTTAATTAGCCTAAACTAGAATTAGTAGTAGAACAAATCATCATATCATTTATGTGTAGGGATTTAAGAGAGTACACTATTTTAAAATAACATTATAGTTGGGTCAAATCATCTAAACTAACTGGACAGTGATAAAAAAAACAAAATGGAGCACTAATAAAGGTATTTCAGTATGAACCTTTCCTTGACATTGCACTTCCTGCAACTTATCATTTTCTTGTTATTGCACTTTTTGTAACTGAAGATTAATAGAATAATATATTTTAAGATAACTGAACAGTGATCAAGAACACTTATATTAACAGAAAAGGCGGCGAATGATTTAAAAAGTGCAAAGATATACTCTTTTTCATAAAGGTATTTTAATCTGATCTTTTCTTTGTAGGACATCCAGATTGTATAACTTATATAAGAGAAATTTCTGATTGTCTTGATTGTTCTAAAATTTATAGGAACATGAGTAATTTGAAGCGTGGTTGGATGTATGAGAGGTTGGATGGACGAGGGGGTATACTCTCCAGTTTTATAACCGGTGTGAATAACTTTATTCAGTATGCATGTTCACAAAAAAATCGTATGAGTGGTGACAACATTAAATGTCCTTGCAAAAAATGTCATAACCTTAAATACATGGATGTTGAAATGGTTAAATATCACCTTTTTCAATACGTCTTTGTTGAGAACTATTTTGTTTGGAAATATCAAGGGGAAGAAGATGCTATTGATGAGATGTATTATGTTAATGATTTGCATGGTGGAACTCAACCTGAATTGGGATATGATAATCCGTACCGACAAATGATTTTGGATGTAGCTGGTCCAAACTTTGATCAAGGTTTGAGTCGACAATTTCAAAGCAATATTGAACATGAGTCATCTCATACTTATGAAACTTCAATGGAGGAGGAGATCAATCCTTCAATAGAGGAGGCGTCTGATCTTCCAATGGAGGAGGAGCCTAATCCTGAGTCTCAAAGATTTTATGATTTACTACATGCCGCTGATGCAAAATTGTATCCCGGTTCCTCCGTCTCTCAACTTGACGTTGTCTCTAGGATGTTAAACATTAAAATGGAGAACAACATGTCACAGAGAGGTTACAACCAAATGATGCAATTGTTGAAAGATTCTTTACCTGAAGATAACATAGTGCTTGATAACTATTATCAAACAAAGAAATTGGTGCGTAGCTTGGGTTTGCCAGTTGAGAAGATTGATTATTGTGAATCAGGATGTATGTTATATTGGGGCGATGATGAGAACCTTACATCTTGTAAATTTTGTGGCAATCAGAGGTATAAGCGTCGTGTAGGCTCTCGTAAGCGGAAATTGGTCCCTTATAAGAAAATATATTATTTTCCTTTGATTCCTAGATTAAAAAGATTATATGCATCTCATGCTACAGCTGCTGATATGAGATGGCATCATGAGCATACACACGACGAAGGAGTAATACGTCATCCATCAGACTCTGATGCTTGGAAACACTTCAATGAAACTCATACCTTTTTTGCCAATGAACCAAGAAATGTAAGATTGGGGTTATGTACGGATGGTTTCCAACCATTCAGTCAGACTGGGAGGAAATACGCTTCGTGGCCAGTGATTGTAACTCCATATAATTTACCTCCAGGAATGTGCATGAAGGAAGCATATATGTTCTTAACTGTCATTATTCCAGAGCCAAACAATCCCAAACATAAAATTGATGTTTATCTGCAACCTCTAATAAATGAGTTGACCTTGTTGTGGGAGACAGGTGTAGAAGTATTTGACATTTCAAAAAAGCAAAACTTTCAACTAAGGGCAGCTTTGATGTGGACTATAAGTGACTTTCCAGCATATTCTATATTATCAGGATGGAGTACTGCGGGTAAGTTAGCTTGTCCTTATTGTATGGAGGAGACATAATCCTTTAGATTAGAACATGGTAGAAAAACATCTTGGTTTGACAGTCATAGGATGTTTCTTGACCAACATCATCCTTTCCGGAGAGATCGTAAAAACTTTTTTAAAGGCAAGACTGTCAAAAGATTTCCACCACCTTACAAAACAAGAGAGGAGATTTTGAACCAAATTTGTGACTTAGGGATAAGGAAAGTAACTGAGTTAGATGCAGAAGAGGTTAATCGAAGAATATGTAAGTCTTGTGGATGGAAAAAGCAAAGTATCTTTTGGGATTTGCCATATTGGAGTTCTAACATGATTCGACATAACCTTGATGTCATGCATATTGAGAAAAATGTCTTTGATAATGTATTTAACACGGTTCTTAATATTGTTGATAAAACCAAAGACAATTCACAATCACGTTTGGATATGGTAAACTATTGTGATCGACCTCAGTTGGCAAATGATTCAAATGGTAAATACCCCAAAGCTGTATACACAATAGACAAGGAAGAAAAAGCTATCTTGTTTAATTGGGTCAAAGATTTGAAATTTCCAGATGGGTATGTTTCAAATTTGGGTAGATGTCCAGACACAAATACAAAAAAGCTATATGGCATGAAAAGTCATGATTGTCACGTGTTCATGCAAAGACTTTTGCCTATTGCTTTTCGTGAATTACTTCCTAGTAATGTGTGGCAAGCACTTACAGAGTTGTGCTTATTTTTTAAAGATTTTACTCTAACCACTCTACGAGTGGATGACATGGAGAGATTGGAAGCAGATATCCCACAAATTTTGTGTAAGTTAGAACGTATATTTCCTCCAGGGTTCTTTGACTCGATGGAACATTTGCCTGTGCACCTACCATATGAAGCAAAGATCGCTGGACCTGTACAATATCGATGGATGTATCCTTTTGAAAGGTAAATGTGAAATTTTATGACAAAATTATGACAAGCATGTTATACTTGGTAATTCTAATATGATGGTACATTCATTTATTATATATTAAGGTACCTTGGAACTCTTAAAAGGATGATTGGAAATAAAGCTAGTGTTGAGGGTTTTATTTGTGAAGCATACTTGATGACAGAGTCAACACTATTATTTTCTCATTATTTTGAACCTCATGTCATGACACGTAATCATAATGTGGACCGTAATGATGATGGTGGTATTACGGAGGATCTTGAAGGAAATCTATCAATATTCACCCATCCAGGTCGACTATGGGGATAGACAAGAAAAAGAAATTTATCACTTGATGAAATCAAGGCCGCTCAAACTTACATATTACTAAATTGTGAAGAGGTTGAGCCATTTGTGAGGTAGTATTTAAAATTTATTTTCACCTAATATTAGAAACATATTAATATATTATGACTTTCTATTTAACTTATTTTGTATTAATGAAGTATGTACGTGCAACGTTTGCAAGAAGAATCTCCCAATTTATCACAGTGTCAGATAGATGAGAGACTTGAGGCATATTTTTCTTTATGGTTTAAGGAATACGTAAGTCTCCAACGATCATTAACTTTGATATAGTAATGTAACCTAAATTGTCTTGTGAATTTAACTAAGTCTTTTTTTAAATAGGTCCGATGCAATCATATAGAGAATAAATTCTTGCGTAGCCTTGCTCATGGACCATTAGTAGGCGCTACATGTCATTCAATGTATTTTGTTAATGGATACAAATTTCATACAAAATGTTATGGTAGCGCTAGATCAACAATGAACAGTGGAGTTTGTATCTCAGATCCAAATTTTGGTGATTACTATGGACGGATAAAAGAGATTATACAAGTGGAATACCGTGAAGAACTTTTAAAGCAAACTGTCTTATTCAAGTGTGAATGGTTTGACCCAACTATAGATGTTGGTGTGAAGAAGCATAATCAATACAAATTGATTGATGTTAACCAACGTCGTCGGTATAAAAAGTATGAACCTTTTATTCTTGCAATGCAAGCAACACAAGTGTGTTATGTCCCATATCCTAGCAAGAAAAAGGACAAGATTGATTGGCTAGCCGTATTGAAGGTTAAACCTCGTAATGTTGTGGAATTACCTGATGAAGAAGTGGCACCAACTCCAGAACTGAATGTTCCATTTCAAGTCAATGAAGTTGAAGTCCATGAGATAGATATGAATGTTTCTGTTGATGAAGAAATACTCTTACATGATTTAAATGGGGGTGTACTTGAAATGGAAGAACCCATTGATGGGTTACATCCAAAGTATCATGAAATCCCTGGAGAATCTATAGAGGAGGAGTATGAAACTGAGGAGGAGTATGAATCTGAAGAAACTGAGGAGAATGAGGAAGAATTTGAAGAAGATTTAGATAGTGACTAGTTCTTAATAACAATATGTTATTGTATCTTCAATATTTTTTGAGTGTAGTAATTTTTCATAATATTATTATTCCCTTAGTTTATGTTTTTTTAATGTAATAATATTTGAATGACTTTTTCTTCTATTCGATATGATTAAGAATTTTGTTTTGTTTATTCAACTTGAGATTTCTATTTTTTGATGTTGCCTTTTGTTTTATAGATTTTCCTTAAAAATTGGAGTTCAGCTGGTTATTCTCAACTATTGTGACTTCTTCCTCTTCTCTTCGACTGCTGCAACTAGTAAGGTAAGTTTTCGATAACTTTTTCTTTTTGTTTTCTGTACTATTACGTATTCAGCTTCACTATTGTGGGATGAGTTACTCTTTCTTCTCATGTTCTTTTCTACTTTCTTCACTTCTTAGACGTGCTGTAGTAGCTGCAATGATATCTGTTAGTATTGTTTTTCAGTTGCATTTATTTAGTTGATTATAGTTTTCCTCCCCCTATTTTGACTTTATATGTCTGAAATTTTACTTCGAAAAGACTGTTTAGTCATCTGTTTAAAATCTGCAGGAGATTCTAGCTCTAATTTTTAGTATGTCATATGCATGAAATTTAGTAACATTTGGGCATACTGATGAACTTTATTTAAAAATAATTGATCTTTTACAAGTGTTGATCTTACAATACTTACATATTTTGAAGATATGGCTCGAGGCAGAGGTCGAGGTAGTGCAGGTCGTGTAGGAAAATCCTTAGGTCGCGGTAATTCTGCTATTCCTCCAAAAATGCCTACTGTTCCTATTCCCACAACAGTTAGTCCTCAACAAGGTGGTACAAGTTCTAATATAGGTGGGCTTGATCGTACAAACCAAGTTCAAATACTAGGACCTAGCAGTACACCACCCGTTCAAATGCCAAATCACAATAATATTCCAACCGATGTTGAATCATCTCCTATTACACCTAATGAAAGTAATCAAATAGGAGAGGGTGCATCTACTCAAAGCAGCACAATTGGTGAAGGTGAGTCCAATAATCGTGGGCAGCGGAGAACAGTTATTACTCTTACTCCTACAGGGTTAGTCCATGTTTATAGTATCATTAGTATATATATTTTTAATAAGATACATATGTATTTAAATAATGTCCTGAAATTTATATAGATTGGAGCCTTCTTCGACATGCTCTACTTTCATAGCTAAGTCTTTCAAAAATGAACTTGATCCCAATGGAATCAATTGGAAAGGTGTCTCGCAACCTGTAAAAGATTTTTATTTTGGAGAATTCAAGGTATGTTATTTCATTATAATTGAGTTTAAGAAAGTGATAAACTTTTTATAGATATGATATTAATGTTATTACTTTACAACCTAATTTCAGAAGGAATTCTATTGGGACTCTTCAACTAATGAAAATGCAGTGAAAAGACAATGGGAGATTAAGGCATCACTACGATATAGCGATTTTATTTCCAGAATAAAAAAGAACGGAACTAATCCCGGATATGTAACTGATATTGTGTGGGAAAATTGGATGAGGCTTTGGCAAGCTCCTGAGAATGTTGCGAAGTCAGAAACAAATAAAAAAAATCGTCGTGGAGGAAGAGAAGCTGCTATCGGAACTCATACAGGTGGATCTATCTCTATTGGGGAGCATCGTAAGAAACTTGTAAGTATATATTTCACGCAATATATATTCTTCGACAAAATACATTTTCCTTATCTTCTAGTCATTACTAAAAGTCGATAGTACACAAATAGTAGAAGTGCCTCTTTTTTTTTGTTCAATTATGTTTTGGGACTGTTGTTGCAGTGCATCTGTTTTGGTGCAACATACAATTGTTGTTGATGACACTTTTGCCTATTGTATAGTGTGATGAATGTCTTTAGCTAGAACTGTATGTTGGCTGGAAAAACATAAAAATGAAAGCCCCACATTATAATAGTTGGTTAGAGAAAATAAAAAGTTACAGGGAAAAATGTATAGATTTGAACTTTACATGTAAAAGCTTTGCCTGAATGTGTACAAAGATGTGAACTCTACCAAGATGGCATAAGAAAATGTAGATATATTTTGCCTGGATATTTGGCTAGCGCTAACACGTAATATAGTAAAATTAAGAGAGAGTAGGATGTACATAGACTTTATTTATACCTTTGTGAGATAAGAGATTGTTTCTGATAAATTCTCGGCTTAAAGAAAAATATCCAACACATGAGTATAGGTACATATTAATTGTTCCAAAAATTTTCACCACCAGTACTACCTCTACAAGCTTATAATAGTTAGTTGCCTTAGAATCTATTTTTTATTGTAAGAGCCTTAATGGGTCTTGCTTATAGAAGAAGGGAGCTTAATATTTTAGATTGTCTTGTGACATTGCATGCAATAGATTGAATATGAATAACTTCTTATTATAGAACTTGATTTTTGAATCTGAATCTGAATCTTTTTCTTTGTCACCAAGTACTATTCTGGACAGTTTTTGGCTCGTTTTCACCGATTTTTGAATCTGAAACTTGCATAAGAAAGTTATGAAAGACATCTCAATTCTTACAAATGTTGGTTCCTTCATCTTTAGAGGCACGATTTGAATTGTTAGCATTATTTCTGCCATAGGGGCAACCTCAATTGTGGGTTCCTCACTGAAATTAAATAGACTTTTTGTGTTTATTGAAATACTTTACCTAATTATATCATATTGTTCATAACATAACTGGGGCAATTTTTTTTTTTTGGGTAGGCTATTGAAAAGGGTCGAGACCCAACACCAAGTGAGCTCCATTTGCACGTCCACACACATGATCACGATGGAAAATCTTTTGTTGATGAGCGAGCACGAATTGTTCATGTAAGTAGAATTTATAAAATTATCGACTTTTGACATTCATATTCTTTTTATTTGAAGAAACTTATAGTTAGTATTCTTTATTATAATTTTAATGTCTCTACTTATTGCAGGAAAGATATGAAGAAATATTACGTGAGAAAATTGAGTCTGAATCTGATATTGATCAACGTGACGCATATTATCAAGCTGCAGGTGGAGAAAAGAAGAGAAGAATATATGGTCTTGGAACTCAAGCAAAAAGTTACTATGGACCAAATCTTTGTATCTCTTCTCAATCTGATGTTTCATCATCAATACCACCATCTGTTTCTCAATCTGCACCGATGGAAAATATGGATGAGTTCGTGAAGAAATTGATTCCTACATTGACTGATCACATGATTCCTATATTACTTGAGCGCATACGAGGTGTAACTTCTTTACCATCACATCAATCAGCTGATACTCCTATTGGTGATGCATCATCAGCAACACCTATGGTGCCTAATAAGGTTGTTTCAGATGATGACCATATTTCTTCTCCCTAGCATTAGTTTTTCTTATCTAATTTTTGTTAAAGAAAAACAAATTATGCAGTAACAATTACGAGTTCTAAACATTAGTAATTGCTAGATGTTTGATACTTGGTGTAGATGTTTTGGACTTAATATTAGATGAATATATGTTTTGGTGCACGGGTTATATATGAAGTAACATTTATGTTATATGAATATTTGTTATTATTAGGATGTTTTATAATTTACATTTTCTCTATATTATAAATAAATAAATAAAATGAATAGAAAGAATTATACCTACGACAAATTTAACGATGGAAATTGCGACGAATTTTGGGAATAGTTAAAGAATTAAAATTGGTGACGGATTGCGACAAATATTAATTGGTTGCCAAAAGTTTGCGACGGATTAGCGATAAATTATTTTCATCGTAAAATTATAGGACGACGAATTCATTTATGTAATTTGCAACGATATATATAAATCTAGCGACAAAACTTTCCGTCGCTACCATTTTACTACGGATATCATATGTCGCTAAATCGTCGTTAATCTTGCTACGGAATCAATTTTGCCGTCGCAAAGGGGTTAGCTACAAGCAAAATTATAACGGTCAACATTTCATCGCTAATCCATCGTAAATATAGTTTAGCGACGGATATATGTCTATTGGCGACGGACTTATCCGTCGCTAAACACTGTTTTTTTAGTAGTGTATGTTTCTGTTTACTTATTGGAGTCAAATGATTTATGACATGCCCGTTTGGGACATGTAAATTACAAAGTCTTGTGAAAATTGATTACTTTACAAGTATTGCCTGATTTCAAATGCGATAAATCGAAATGTGAAATTTGTGTGGAAAGTAAGTTTGTTAAACATCATTACAAGTCTGTTGACAGGAATTCAAAACCTTTAGACTTAATTCACACAGATATATGTGATATGAAGTCGACACCATCTCGTGTTGGGAAAAAGTATTTTATAACTTCTATTGACGATTGCACTCGATTTTGTTATGTATATTTGCTTAATAGTAAGGATGAAGCAATTGATGCATTTAAGCAATACAAAAATAAAGTGGAAAATCAATTGAATTTAAAGATAAAAATGATTTGAAGTGACAGGGGTGGAGAATACGAATCTCTTTTTGCTGAGATATGTTTGGAATATAGTATTATCCATCAAACTACTGCACCTTATACACCACAGTCAAATGGTTTGGCTGAACGAAAGAACAAAGCATTAAAGGAAATGATGAATGCCTTGATAATCGGTTCTGATTCACCAAGAAATCTATGGGGGGAAGCCATCCTTACGGCTAACAAGATACTCAATAGGGTAACCCTGTAGCAAAACACAATCGATTCCATGTGAGTTATGGAAAAGAAGGAAACCCAACTTGAAATATTTCAAATTGTGGGGGTGTCTAGCCAAAGTAGAGGTGCCTTTATCCAAGAGGGTGAAAATTGAACATAAAATAGTGAATTGTGTATTTATTGGATATGCTGTGAATAGTAAGGCTTGTCGATTTTTGGTTCACAAATCTGATAATCCTGAAATTCATGTTAATATGGTAATGGAGTCAGATAACGCTGAGTTGTTTGAACACATTTATTCGTATAAAACTGAATGTGAGTCGACAAGTGAAAGACCTAAACGACCACAT